TATATATATATATTTATAATTGCATCTCTATTACGATTGTTGTAATATGCCTAGTCTATATAGGAGAGCACTAGTTGAAACTCGATGTTTATTACAATTATTTCGTTTGATCGAAAGATTATTATATATATATATCATATTATTTGCCTGATATATGTTAAACGATTTTTTTGATCGAGCGTATATTCGTTTTTCTCGTATCTTGATACATTTCTCAGATTTGCTAATGTAGATCATTTTTATATGGCGCAATGTGCTTCTTGCCGCGACACACGTTACTATCACCGTGTTTTAGAGATGCCTTGCATCACACATTTAACATATTTTCCTCTATCTCGGATAAAGATCTTGAATTTTACCGCGTGCATATCAGCGTAGACATACGAATACGGTTGACTCTTTAGCGGTTGCTATTTATAGATACACATTGTATTTTTTTTTCTTTTTTTTTCCTTATGTCATACTGTTTGTCTAACGTTGAAATGTTTTGTCAGATAAAATGGCTGCATCTAAATCAGACCACCACGACTTAACGCATTAAACACCTTTTGTATATACAGAGAACCGAAAAGGTGTTTATATTCTGACACGTTATACACACGACTGCACGTTAAAAAACGCGGAGAGATCTCTTCGCATCGAACAACTGGAGACACGGTTTCCCGCGTTTCTTTACTTCTTTACACGTCTTCGTTTCTTCTTTTATTTCTGCTTTTTCAAAGCGCATGATTCGAAATATAAGAGAAAAAAAAAGACTCCGTCTCGCTCGGACGGTTTCCGAGCAAAAATGAGAGGAAAAAAAAGAGAAAAGACAAAGCCGCTTAAAGGACCCTTCTGTATATACGACTGAGCGGGCAAGAATGCAGTGTTTGTGATAGAAGAGTCTTGTGTGTGATCTGATGACGAGAGGTACGCGTGGTACAATTATGTACACGAGACACGGCTAGTCAGTGACACGCGCGGCATTTGCGATATATAAACACCTTACACACCGGGAGACACTCTATTGCCGCACAGAAAAAAAAAGGAAAAAGAGATAAAATGCCGTTGATAGAAAGTTTCAGTTTGGATGCTGGCTAGTTGGATCAATTATTTACGATTCGCTATCTTCTGTTATTTTTTTCTAGCTCTGCTGCTATTCGTTTTTTTTGCTTGATACTTTGTTGTTAAAAGTACTATTCGTTGCCCATGTACAATATTATATCGAGCACACAGTAGCTTCGCATCCGCCGATTAAACATGTTCCATATAGCTGATGCTGTTTGTGCTTTAGCGCGACTA